GTAATCACCTCAAACAAACCCTCTTTCCGCAGAATTGCCTCTGCATACTGAACCCAGTCGCTGTAATTTTTCTTGTTGAGCTTAGGAATCCCACAAGCATCCTGAAGGGCCATCATGACTCTGGCATTAGCCTTCAGCGTCATTATATGCTGCTTTAAATCTTGCTGCGTCACTGCTGCAGCTGCTTCATTACAAAGGCACACTTAAAAGTTACTTTCGATTTCCCCAGCATAGTGACTTGTGCCTGGGAGCCTTTTGCCTATTCCCGGCAAAACCGGCTTTAAAAGTTCAAAGTCCAGCCATAAAGCCATTATCTTGAAGCTGGCAGGCTGCCCGGAGCAGTAGCACATACCTCATCAATCACTTCTACGCGCAGAGCAGATTCCTTTCCGATCCGTTCCTCTGCATTCCGATCCTTTGCCGGCACTCCGAGTCGACTCCTGGAGTCCATCACCACGTGTTGATTTAAAGCAGAGTCTGTCGTGCCCAGCGGAAGGATGAGGAAAATGTGCTGCATACTCTATATTGCTTTATTTACAGTTCAAAGCTGGTATATTACAGAAAGACATCTTGCCTCTGCAAGAGCAGAAAATGCATCCTCTCTCCTCGACAGCTTGGAGAGAATCACACAGTGAAAAACAGGAAACCAGTGTACGTCACATCCAGTCTCCCTTTCCCGTGAGAAACTCCAACAGTACAGACTGTGGAATGCAAAACAATGTCTTGTGACTGCAGTTGCTGCTCAGTGAGGGAAATAGAAACCAACACGCTGTACATAGCGACGCCACACATGTGCCCTACGTAGTGACACCACACATGCATCGTACATAGCGGCACACCGCGTGCACCCTACATAGTGACACCACACATGCGTCGTACATAGCGGCACACCGTGTGTGCAGCCAGCGGTTTGCCCCACCCCAGGTGTTGGTTAGCCTTTGTTTCCCCTGCCCACAGCCCCTCTACATGTTCTTTCAACACACGAACCCTGCTTTTGACATCTTCCAACTCAAGTTCCAGAGCCAAAATCTTTAAAATGAGCTTGCAGGGCAGCAGTTGAAGAAGGAGCAAAAAGGGTTTTCTTGTATGTGTGTGTGTTTCTTTGTGGCTGATTAGCTGCTCTCCCTGTGCAAAGGTCAGAGGGGGCAGGGTTTCTGTTGAGGCAGGTGATTAGCTGTGGGAGGAGCTTATCAGAGCTTGCAGGGCAGCGGCGCGCGCAGTTTCATCCATCTTTTAGATTTAGGGGAGCTAGTCTCAAACGTTTGTTGGGGAGACCTAGGTTTTTCTGTGGGGAGTTATTTGTCCAGTCTTCACGCTTTTTTTGATGGAGGACCGCTGTAGCCATCCCCAACGACACGTTCTCAAGATGGAGGGGGAGGGAACAGCTGCAGTCGCCTGTGGTTCCTGCGCAATGTTTGCCATCTTGCCAAAGGTTGCAGGCAGCTTTACCTGCAGCAATTGCATGTTGATTGCCCTCTTAAAAGACAAAGTCCAGCAACTGGAGGAACGTGTAGCTACGCTCCAAAGAATTAGAGAGCTGGAGCTCTTCTTGGAAGCAACAGAGCACACCGTCTCCACCAAGGAGGAGACAGGGGATTCCGCTGAGAAGGAGGCTAGTTCACCAACACAGGAGCCAGATATATGGAGAAACGTGACTCAAAGAAGTAGGAGGCCCAGGGTTCGCTCTGATTGTTTAGAAATACACAATTGCTTTGAGGTCCTCTCCCCTAGCATGGAAGACGAAGAGCAGACTCCATTTGAGAATCTCTCCCTCATTACAGTCGATCAGGTATATGAAGACGAGCAGCAAAGTCAGTCCTCAGGGAATGTGCAGGCGACCTTGGAACGGACAGCTCACGGAAGAACCCCGACCAACACCTAAGAGGAGGCGTGTAGTGGTGATAGGGGATTCCCTACTGAGGGGAACAGAAGCAGTGATCTGTGGGCCTGACAAGATGTCTCGGGAAGTGTGCTGTCTCCCCGGGGCTAAGATCCAAGATGTAACTGAACGACTGCAAGGAATCATAAAACCCACTGACAAATACCCCTTCCTCTTGGTTCATGTGGGAACCAATGACACTGCAAGCAATAGCCTCCAGAAGATCCAAAGAGACTACGAGGCTCTGGGCAGGAAATTGAAGCAATTAAATGCACAAATTGTCATCTCATCTGTCCTCCCAGTTGAACGACGTGGCCCAGGGAGAGAGGGAAAAATAGTGGAAGTGAACAGCTGGCTTCACAAATGGTGTAAACAGGAACGGTTTGGATTCTTAGATCACGGACCTGCAGTTTCTTGAAGATGGACTTCTGGCAAGCGATGGGCTGCACCTCACAACGGTTGGGAGAAATGTTTTTGCCAAAAATCTCAGAAACCTCATCAGGAGGGCTTTAAACTGACTAATGTGGGGGAGGGAGACAGTGCTCCTGAAGGTAGGAGTCTATCAATTGATGAAGATGATCATCCAAATGTCATAGACCAAATGGAGCAAACAGCACGCAGACCTAGTGGTGGGAGGAAAAAATCCTTAAATAAGAGACACGGGGGAATGATTAATGGACTTCAATGTCTGTACACCAATGCACAAAGCATGGGAAATAAACAAGATGAGCTTGAGCTCTTGGTACAGCAAACTAAATATGACATAATAGGCATCACTGAAACCTGGTGGGATAAGTCCCACGATTGGAATGTAATAATGGGGGGATACAATCTATTTCAGAGAAACAGACCAGACAAGAAAGGAGGAGGAGTGGCGTTATATGTCAGGGATGTGTATACCTGTGAAGAGATCCAAGATTTAGAACCTCAAAGCCAAAGTGAGAGCATTTGGGTCAAAATTAAGGGAGAGAAGAATAACAGTGACCTCATTGTGGGAGTTTACTATAGATCCCCAAGCCAAACGGAGGACATAGATGATGCCTTCCTGGAACAGATGGCCAAGCATGCAAAAGGAAGGGAGATAGTAGTAATGGGGGACTTCAATTACCCGGATATTTGTTGGATGTCAAACTCAGCCAAGAGCATAAGGTCAAACAGATTCTTCACTGGCCTTGCAGACAACTTCATTGTCCAGAAAGTGGAAGAAGCAACAAGAGGAACAGCCATTTTAGATCTGGTCCCAACCAATGTTGATGACCTGGTTAGTGGGGTAGAAGTGGAAGGATCATTAGGCGCAAGTGATCATGCTCTTCTGAAGTTTACTATACAGCGGAAAGGAGCAGCCAAGCATACTAGGACTCAATTTCTTGACTTTAAGAAAGCCGACTTCATAAAACTGGGTGAGATCCCATGGACAGTAATACTAAAAGGAAAGGGAGTTCATGATGGCTGGAAGTTTGTTAAGAGGGAGATAGTAAAAGCACAACGTCAGGCAATACCAATGAGATGGAAACATGGAAGGTGCCTAAAGAAGCCAGGGTGGCTATCTAAAGAACTTTTAACTGAGTTAAGATTAAAAAGGATGTGTACAAAAAATGGGAAAGGGGGGAAACCACCAAAGAGGAATTCAAACAAATAGCCAGCACGTGTAGACACAAAGTCAGAAAAGCTAAAGCACAGAATGAACTCAGGCTTGCTAGAGAGGTTAAAAGCAACAAAAAAGGCTTTTATGGGTATGTTCATAGCAAAAGGAATAACAAAGAAACAGTGGGGTCACTCAGAGGAGAAGATGGTGAAATGCAAACAGGGGACACAGAAAGGGCTGAACTCCTCAATGCCTTCTTAGCCTCAGTCTTCTCCGATAAAGAAAACAATGCCCGACCTGAAGAATTTGGAGCAAATGATTCAGCAGAGGAAACACAGCCCAGAATAACTAAGGAGATAGTACAAGAATACTTGGATAGTTTAGATGTATTCAAGTCTCCAGGGCCAGATGAACTGCATCCAAGAGTATTAAAAGAACTGGCAGATGTGATCTCAGAACCACTGGCAGTCATCTTTGAGAATTCCTGGAGAACAGGCGAAGTCCCGGCAGACTGGAGGAGGGCAAATGTTGTCCCTATTTTCAAAAAGGGGAAAGAGAGGACCCAAATAATTACCGCCCAATCAGTCTGACATCAATACCAGGGAAGATTCTGGAGCAGATCATTAAGCAAACAGTCTATGAGCACCTAGAAAGGAATGCTGTGATCACCAATAGTCAGCATGGATTTCTGAAAAATAAGTCATGTCAGACTAACCTGATCTGGTTTTTTTTGACAGAATTACAAGCCTGGTAGATGAAGGGAACGCAGTGGATGTAGCCTACCTTGATTTCAGCAAGACATTTGACAAGGTGCCCCATGATATTCTTGTAAAGAAGCTGGTAAAATGTGGTCTTGACTATGCTACCACTCAGTGGATTTGTAACTGGCTGACTGACCGAACCCAAAGGGTGCTCATCAATGGTTCCTCTTCATCCTGGAGAAGAGTGACTAGTGGGGTGCCACAGGGTTCTGTCTTGGGCCCGGTCTTATTCAACATCTTTATCAACTACTTGGATGATGGACTCAAGGGCATCCTGATCAAATTTGCAGATGACACCAAACTGGGAGGGGTGGCTAACACCCCAGAGGACAGGATCACACTTCAAAACGACCTTGACAGATTAGAGAACTGGGCCAAAACAAACAAGATGAATTTTAACAGGGAGAAATGTAAAGTATTGCACTTGGGCAAAAAAAAGAGAGGCACAAATACAAGATGGGTGACACCTGGCTTGAGAGCAGTACATGTGAAAAGGATCTAGGAGTCTTGGTTGACCACAAACTTGACATGAGCCAACAGTGTGACGCGGCAGCTAAAAAAGCCAATGCAATTCTGGGCTGCATCAATAGGAGTATAGCATCTAGATCAAGGGAAGTAATAGTGCCACTGTATTCTGCTCTGGTCAGACCTCACCTGGAGTACTGTGTCCAGTTCTGGGCACCACAGTTCAAGAAGGACACTGACAAACTGGAACGTGTCCAGAGGAGGGCAACCAAAATGGTCAAAGGCCTGGAAACAATGCCTTATGAGGAACAGCTAAGGGAGCTGGGCATGTTTAGCCTGGAGAAGAGGAGGTTAAGGGGTGATATGATAGCCATGTTCAAATATATAAAAGGATGTCACATAGAGGAGGGAGAAAGGTTGTTTTCTGCTGCTCCAGAGAAGCGGACACGGAGCAATGGATCCAAACTACAAGAAAGAAGATTCCACCTAAACATTAGGAAGAACTTCCTGACAGTAAGAGCTGCTCGACAGTGGAATTTGCTGCCAAGGAGTGTGGTGGAGTCTCCTTCTTTGGAGGTCTTTAAGCAGAGGCTTGACAACCATCTGTCAGGAGTGCTCTGATGGTGTTTCCTGCTTGGCAGGGGGTTGGACTCGATGGCCCTTGTGGTCTCTTCCAACTCTATGATTCTATGATTCTATGAAAATAAATAAAGAATAAACATTCATTCTCATGAATATATGCATGCTGCTTTTAAAAAGAAAGAAAGAAAAGGTGGACATCTTGCACAAAGGATGCAACCTGCTATTTCTGCAGCTCTGGGTTAGTGACCAAAGAAGCTGTTAAAAACAGTAATGAAACCGTAGAGTGTGAAAGTGTCTGGAGGGTTAAATAGTTGCAAATAGAGTGAAATTAATAATTAAAAGTATATACTGCAGACCACAAAAGCAGAGCTACATACATTTGATGTACAGTGATTTGGCTATCCCACTTTCTAATGTTCACCTTTGTGATAATGAATGTCATTAGATGTTATTGTTGGGTTACACGGTTGGGTGTGCGTGTTAGCACAACATGGACAAGGTATACTAACACACAGTCATGGGGGATCTGCTACAGTTGGCATTTGTAGCACAGTTGTGAAAGCTACAATGAATTCATGAATATCGCTAATTAGCCATATAAACAGATTCTAATGTATTATCTTTCCCTTATTACATTAATCAATTAATGGAAAACTAGACTTTTTTAAAAGATACAATTATTATTTCCCTTTATGCCTTCCACACATTGATGGCAGAATATTTATATTACTCAAAACATGAGAGCAGAAAAAGTAGTAGACTTTGAAAACTTCAGTATATATAATATTGCAAAATAAAATATTGGTCTTTGGGGCTACAATTCTGTACCCACTTATCTGGGAGCAGACCTCATTGAACAGAAGTATCTTTGTAGCTCAATGGTACAGCACATGTTTTTCGTGTAGAAGGTCCTGAATTTGATCACTGGCATCTCCAGGCAGAAGTGTGGACGTTGCTTGTCTGAAATCCTGGAGAACCAATACCAGTCAATGTAGACAATATGTAGCTGCATGAAGCAATGGTCTGTCTCAGTTTAAGGTAGCTTTTAATGATCCTGTACAACTTAGTGGGACTTATTTCTAACAAATTTGCAGAAGATTGATAGTGTTTCCAGTGATCTAATGGTGCTGTCTTAACAGTGCAATCCAAGAAAGCTCTGCAGAGTCTCATCAACCGTTTTGCCCAAGCCTGTATGGAGTTTGCTTTTACTATCTTAATGATGGAGACCAACATCCTGGGTCAGAATGTTGCCAGCACTCCAAGCATCAGCACTGGTGACCACAAGCTTGAGGTGGTAGATGATTGTGTCTACCAGGGTTTCACCATAACCAGCAACCTCTCCATCAACGCTGAGCTGGACCTGAGCTGGACCTTGCTAATCCGCTGAGCGTGTTGGCAAGGCAGGTATGACAATGGCCCACCTCTTCAAAAGGGTATGGGAGAATGTGATGCTAACATCCAATACCAAGATGAAGGTCTACCAGGCTTGTATGCTGAGCACACTGCTTTACAGTAGTGAGATGTGGGGAACTGACACCTGCCAGGAGCACCACGTCAATGCCTTCCACATGCACGGCATCAGGAAGATTTTGGGCATCACATGGCAGGACAGAGTCTCAAAGGAAGATGTGCCCACATTCTCAAACCCACATTCCCAGTACGTTCACACTCCTGTCTCAGTGACATCTGTGTTAGGATCATCCTACTTGTGTGTAGGATTCTGGTAGAGACACGTGCCCGACTGGCATGTTCTCTCCTTCCTGGTTGGTCGTTCGGGAGCTTCAAAAGCTTTCTCCAGCCTGAATATCACAGTGACTGATACCAAGAGGCATCAGCACACTTAGGGATCCTGCAGAGTATTTACAGTTTGCATAACACAACTCAGTAGCACAGCATTTTGGCTAATCTACGTTTATTTACATATAATACACTCGGAGCATTCTGACTTAGCTCCTTCCTCTTTCTCATCAGACAGCAAAGAGAAAGAAACAAAGGACAATAGTCCCACATCACAGAATACAGTAACCAAAACATCCTGTCTCCATCACTTCCCACACTGTGGAATGAAAACATACACCGTCATGTGATAGACAACAATCCCATGACTGCAAACATGGAGCAAGAATCCTAACATCCTGTGCTGTCTTGGTCATGTCCGCAGAATGGAAGATGGCAGGAAGGACTTGCTCTCTGGGGAGCTGGCTTCAGGCACCAGGCCCATTGGTCATGTCTACAAACATGACATGATGCAGATGACCACAGCCCCTGGAGACAATCATTCAGGTCGCGTATCCACAGCAGTGACCAGAGGAGGAACAGCCACTGGGGGGAGTGCAGAGAGAAGAAACACCATAGTACATGAGTATCAGCACAACCGGATGCCTTCATCTGCCCCAGCTGCAACAAAACATGTCTTTCTCATATCGGTCTCAACAGCCACAGCAGGTGCTGTAACTCTTCTATTGTTTGACTTCACTTCCAAAGGCACACTCTTCCGCTGTCTCCCAAAGCAGATGGATGTCAGCCTAAAGACAGCTGAACTAATTGACAGTCTCTCAGCCTAACCTACCTCACAGGGTTGTTGTGGAGATTAAATGAGGAGTGGGAGAGCTATGTACACTACCTTGGAGGAAAATGTGGGATATGAATGCAATAAAAATAAATACTCACTAGTGGCAAACTTTGTTACTTCCATGAAAATGGAATTTCCCAGTATTTCAAGGGTGGATGCCAGACCAAAGTATATGAATGAGGAAGAAGAGAGATCCAGCTTCGTGTTCACCGACTGACTGTGAGCCTGTATCTGCTGGGTATCGGCCTTTTGACTTTCACCAAGCGATTCTTCACAGCAACTCCCTGTTGCCTGTCGTCCGAACGACTCCAACTTTGATCTTGGTGGCCTCTTTTGAAGGTTGCACGTATCACATTCCAGGCATGCCTCTGTGCTTGTGGCTCTATATTAGTCTTTATAGGAAGTCAATGAGATGGAACTCGATAGGAGGGGGAAAAAGAAGAAGGCTTAAGGGCCATTTGAAGACAAATGGGAAGGCCCAGCACTCAATAACTTTACTGAATCATATTTTTCAAGCCTTCCTGGTATGAACAGGAGGGAAAGGGGGCAGGCCTGCTTCCTTTGAAAGGTCATTCACCTTCTCCTGCTGAAGAGCTGGTGTTTTGTTCTTGTTCTTGTTTTGTTTTTAAAGAAAACCCTACCGTCCATTTTATAGGAAGCCATAAAGAACAATAAATTAAGGGGAACTGAATTATATTGAAAGCAAGCAGTGTATTGTCCCCTATATTAGCTTTGATCCTCTTCTCAGGCCCTGCCTTGAGTACCAAGATAAGAAGTGACGGCAAGAAGCAGAGACTGGGTGTTAATTGCCCCAAGGCTGTGGAGTGAACTTCCCCCCTGAGGCTCCTAATTCCCACTCACAATTGACCTTCCAGAGAAGGTACAAAACCCATCCCTTTCCACTCAACTAAGTACTGTGCCGGACGGAATTGGGGTAGGCTGTTTTGTCTTGTTTTGTTTTGTTTCTTTTTCTGCTGTTGTCATTGCAATTGTTTTATTATTTCATTGCTTGGTATGCCAGCTTATGAGTATGGAAAGGCGGGCAAAGTAATTAATTAAAGAAATATGAAGGGCACATGTCTTGTGGAAACATTCTATTTGCCCAGGCTTTCCCTGACCCATAGAGTTAGTCCCTGTTTTTCTGAATTCCTGCTTTTTAAATATATAATCTTGTATTCTTGGTTTTTATGCTATTTTTGTATACAGCTTAGATTTTTCTTTTAAAAGATACTAAATGGTTTCAGAAATGCTTTTACATAAATGAATAAATGCATATACCAGGGATGGAGAATATGTTGCCTTCTAGTTATTGCTGAGGCTATTACTCCCATAATCCCTGGGAGTTGAAGTCCCTGGGATGGCCAAGCTGACTGGGATTGATGGAAGTCCAACAATGTCTGGAGGGCCTGAAGTTCCCCCTCCCTGGCATATACACTTCTTGACCCCAGACATATTTACTACCGTAAGAGTTCTTTCACAACTGCAAGGGTCTAAGCCACAGTGGTAAGCATCTGAACACAGGGACCAAATGTGTCTCGCCCAATTCTTGCTCTTTCTCCTGGCTAAAAACAATGGTGGGGTGGGCCCCTGCTCTTTATCTGATATGTGGGGAAATTTCTCAGATGCATTTGCAAGGCTATAGAGCTGACCAAACTACCAAAAGTTAAAAGAGCCTTCTTGCTGGTACAGCTGGTACAGCTGGAGATAGCTAGCTTTATTATGTGGTAATATGTTTACACAGTAGTAAGTCATTTATTTACATATGTACACGAGGACCAATGTAGTCATAGTGGTTAAGAGGGTTGGAAGGATCAAGGTTCAGAGGTGCCAACTATAGAGGGTCCCGGGGGCCCAAACACCCACAAAAAAAATTGTGGGTGTAGCACCCACACCACAGGGCCCCCGACACAACTTCCAGTGCCTCGCTAAGCACCGGAAGTCACGTCCAAGGCCTCATGAGACCTCAGAGATGCTGCCCAAGGCCTTGCAAGACACCAGAAACTGACCTCTGGTGCCACAGGAAGTCAGGTTCTGAGGCCGTGGGACATTTGACATCATGATGTCACATCATGTGTACCAGGCACCCATAACCTAGGGCCCAAGTTGGCACCCCGTCAAGGTTCAAATCTTTACTCAGCTATGAAGCTAAATGGTTGACTTAGGACCAGTCACTGTCTCTCAGCCAAACCATTAACAGGAGAGGGATCCAATTTGGGAGGCCCTGCAAGGCTACCCTGAACCTGATGCAGGGAAAAAATCCACCCAACTTTTATGAGCGAGAACTGATAGATGCAACAGTGAATCGCCTGCTCCGATTCACCCAGTAGTGAAGTTAGGCCCAGATTAGGATCACTTGAGCTGTTACTTAGGATTTCCGAGTTGTTCCTGTCTCCCAAAGGCAAACTTTTCTCCCACCCCATGTTTGACCTATGGTATAAGTTGCCTCTACACCATTCTATTCTCATGCCCAAGCACATATTGTAACTTACCTTTGTTCCTTCTGGTTACTGTAACAAAGCAACATGTATATATTTCCTTGATAAACATATATATTCAAACACCATTTAGCTTGCTAATGAAAGTGATCTATCCTCAGTGCACCATCCTGCACATAATTAGTTAATAATTACCAATTACTGTGTGCAGTTACAGCAACACTTCATTTTGAATGCTTCCCCTCATCCATGTCACTGTATGCAGCGCTGTAAACCATGGAAATGTTTGGGAGCTGCCTTGTACTGAGTTAGACCATTGGTCCATCGAGTTCAGTGTTGTCTACACAGGCTGGCAATGGCTCACTAAGGTTTCAAAGAATGTTTCCAGTCCTATCTGGAGATGCCTTCTGCATGTCAAGCAAATGCTCAACCTTCTGCATGTCAAGCAAATGCTCAACCACTGAGCCACAGCACTGTATGTTGAGCCCAAGAGATTTCCTTGACAGCACAATTTCAGCCTCTCCAGCCTATTCATAAACCAGTTTTGTAGTAATCCTGGATAGCAAACCGTTTGTTGAATTCAGAAATGGTTAGGGATTAGATCTGGCCTGTGTGTCGATATGGCAGCTACCTGCAGTGGAAGGCTCCTGGACTGATTCGGCAGAAACACCAGTTTGTGAAGAGAGGGTGTGAATTTACAGAGGGGAATCTTGGACTACAGATTTGGACTATAAAGAAGAAGAGTAAAGACATAAAATCCAAACAGAAACATTTTATTTGGACTTAAACTCACTTGCAGAATGAATGCAGAGGCTGTTGAAAATAATGAAGGATTAACATCAGAATGCATTAAAAGAATTATTGTAATATTTTGAAATGCAGTAGAACTATGAGATTAGGATTCCCTCCGATCTCGAAGCATGGGAAGTCAGCTAAAAAATAATAATAATTTATAATTAGGCATAACATTGGGATTTGTTTGATTATTGGATAATTTGTATAATTTGGAATATATAACTTGGTTTGATTGGAAAACTTCAATAAATATTATTTTAAAAATAGATAAATAAATAAATATCCCCCAACTCCCTTGCCGCACTCCTGATCATGATTGCTTCCATGCTGCGTTATAAACACAATGCTGTTCAGGAAGGAAAGGGTTAAAGTGATAGAATTGATTCCTATAAAGGAGAAATGGACCATAAAGAAGGGAATGACTAAAGCAATATGTACAGGCCATAACTGGACGGAAAAGCTATTGAATTGCTGTGTGATGGGTCATCTACACCTGGGGTAATTGTGAAGCTATTCCATTGCATTAAAAAAAAACACCAGATTTTCTGCTTATGGCAAGGTGGGTTGGGAGAAGAGGCTGAAGAGGGAAAATATCAGTGGAGGATCATGATTTGCTTACAATGTCATGCAGATATCCCATAAAAGGTGATGGGGCAAAGCATGGCTATTCTGCAGTAAGCATGCAGTGTAGAATCCGCCATAAAAGGTGGCTATGTATTGGAAAGTGATCCAGCACAGCAGCCTGATGAATGTCTATTTATTATCCTGGTATCTTTCCAGGAAGACATTTTAATATACTGGTGTCTCACAATTTTCAAAGACAGATTAAATTGCGGTGGGAAATGATGTCAGTAATTGCCAGCAGATTATGACAGACTCCACCTTGAACCTGACACCATTTGGTGACTAGGTCTGGCCTTGCAGTGAGCCACTGTAATTTCCACCCCTCTCAAGTGAGCCTTAGGGATAGAAAGTTTGCAGATTCCCTGGACTATAGTAAAGCATAGTGGAGTGTTAAGAGAAAGCTGTGTTCTCTCCCTTGCATCCACCTATCCTGTACATACACCCTGCGTTCAAACCATTTGCAATGGTTACTTTGACTTCTTCTGATGGTGTAATGCTGGTGTCTTACGATAAACATGCGCATAGCATTGTAGCAATGCTTCAGCCACAGTGTGAGCGAGCCTGACTTGGAACCCAAATTCTTGCACACCACCAACATGTCGAATGTTGATTCATTCTTCCATTTCCCTGCATATTCAAAACAGTCTATTCACTTCTTTTTTTAAGCAACTTGTGTACATTTATCCCGTGTACATTTATTTAACCTCTATCTTATCTAAACAACAGTCCCAAATACTCTTTATTTTAAAAAAAAACTGCCCCAAGGATTAACAGGGCTGATGGATTGGTGATGTCACAGGCAGTGTCCAATCAATGCCATTCAGTTAGGTTTTCTCCATTCAGACTAAACATTCTGAAAGGCTGCTGCTGGTGCTTTTTCGAAAGTCACTTCAAGAAAGGAAATGTGCATTTGGATTCAGTATGAGCTCATTTCCAGACCTCTACAAATAATGTTACAGCTGTCTTCACCCTTCTGTTTATAGTCTTCTCATTTTAAAAACTTGGCTTTTTCTGAACTTTTACTAGGTTTCATGTTATTAAAAAGTATATCAGGTTTTTTTAAAAAAACAAATTAAATAAAACCCTGGAGAGTTGCCATCTATCATCTTTCATCACAAACTTAACAGGGAAAATATAGATGCAAAGTTTCCCCCCTGCCCCATATGCAGATAAACACAAGCAGACTGAAAATCTTAATTAGGGTCACGAAAACAACTTGAAGCGCACACAAAGTTGCTTTCTGCCCCAGCTGATTTTTGGAAAGTTTGGGTAAGCAATTCACAAATGGTAATATTATTTAATACACTTTTATCTTTCCCTTCCTTCAAGAAGTAAGGGTGGAATGCATGCCCACTGCTGCTCCTTTATCTTCACAGAAATCTTGGGGGTATGTAGGGCTGAGTGATGATGAGTGACTGGCTTAAAATCACTCTGTGAGCTTTATGCAGTGGTTTTTGATCCCAGGTCTCTCTGATCAAAGTCTGATGCTCTAACACAGCGATTCTCAACCTGTGGGTCCCCAGATGTTGGTGGACTACAACTCCAATCATCCCTGAGCTCTGGCCTGGCTAGCTAGGGATGATGGGAGTTGTAGTTCAACAACATCTGGGGACCTACAGGTTGAGAAAGGCTTCTCTAACTGAACCTGGTGCCATTCAGATGTTCAAGGCCATTGGCGAAGAAGAGGCCCTGCTAGCTCACTCTGCTCGCCAGTTTGGAGCAGAGTCCTTAAAGATGACCTGCAAGCCAATGCATGGTGAATAATCTTCTAAGGCAGGGATGAGCAACATCTGCAGAGTAAACAGCCATGCTCACCTGGAAGAAAGTCATCAGGGGCCATGTACCTGTGTTGTTGGGCAGAGCCAAAACAAAGTGGGAAGGGCCAATGCAAAAATCAGATGGAACACTTCTCTCTGTCTCTGTCTCCATCTCTCTCTCTCTCTCACTCACTCCTCCACCATCCATTAATTATGTCTCTCACTTACACCTATTCATATAGTCAAACCTCGGTTGTTGAACGTAATCCGTTCTGGAAGACCGTTTGACTTCCCAAACATTCGACAACCAAAAACTGAAATTGGAAGCCTCAATACAATAGGGAAACTCAAAACAGAAGCCGTGTAGCATGTTCGGCTTCTGAAAATATTAAAAAACCAGAGCAGTTACTTCTGGGTTTGGGGCAGAAAATGGAGCCAAGGTTTGACTGTACAAGCAAGCACATAAGCTCCCCTTCTTTCCCTTCCATTCATCCTCCATCCAGTGATTTTCTTTCATTCTTTCTCTTTCTCTCTCCCCGCTTCAGGGAGAGCATACTGAAGGAAGTGCAGGGCTGCAGGCTGCTCACCTTTACTTGAGTCTAAGATATGCGTCCACTCTAAGGGTGAGCCGAGCAGCTTACATAAATGCATACTGAATTCATATCTGAAGTGACTCTGGAACCAGAGGTTTCCTACTTCCTAGTTTCTGAACTAGTCTCACAGAGCTCTTCAAGATCCTCCCCATTACTCTGAGAGTGTTGCAGGATATAGGAATCTGCCTTATACCACATCAGATTGTCCACCTAGCCCAATATCATCTGCTAGCAGCTTGCATAAAGAGTTATATGCAACCAGTGGTAAAAACTGTTCAGTTTGTAATTAATTATTATTAATAATAATTTATTATTTCTACCCCGCCCATCTGGCTGAGTTTCCCCAGCCACTCTGGGCAGCTCCCAATCAAGTGTTAAAAACAATGCAGCATTAAATATTAAAAACTTCCCTAAACAGGGCTGCCTCCAGATGTCTTTTAAAAATAGGATAGCTGCTTATTTCCTTGACATCTGATGGGAGGGCGTTCCACAGGGCGGGTGCCATTACCGACAAAGCCCTCTGTCTGGTTCCCTGTAACCTCACTTCTTGCAATGAGGGAACAGCCAGAAGGCCCTCAACACTGGATCTCAGTGTCCGGGCTGAACGATGGGGGTGGAGACACTCCTTCAGGTATACTGGACTGAGGCCATTTAGGGCTTTAAAGGTCAGCACCAACACTTTGAATTGTGCTCGGAAACTTACTGGGAGCCAATGCAGATCTCTCAGGACCAGTGTTATATGGTCCTGGCGGCCACTCCCAGTCACCAGTCTAGCTGCTGCATTCTGGATTAGTTGTAGTTTCCGGGTCACTTTCAAAGGTAGCCCCACACAGAGCGTATTGCACTAGTCCAAGCGGGAGATAACCAGATCATGCACCACTCTGGCGAGGCAGTCTGTGGGCAGATAGGGTCTCAGCCTGCGTACCAGATGGAGCTGGTAAACAGCTGCCCTGGACACAGAATTAACCTGCACCTCCATGGACAGCTGTGAGTCCAAAATGACTCCCAGGCTGCGCACCTGGTCCTTCAGGGGCCCATTTACCCCATTCAGGACCAGGGAGTCCCCCACACCCGGCCACCCCCTTTCCCCAAAAAACAGTACTTCTGTCTTGTCAGGATTCAACCTCAATCTGTTAGCCAGCCAGCCATCCGCCTCCAGGCACTCACACAGGACATTCACCACCTTCACTGGTTCTGATTTAAAAGAGAAGTAGAGCTGGGTGTCATCTGCATACTAATGAACACCCAGCCCATACCCTCTGATGATCTCTCCCAGCGGCTTCATATAGACATTAAAAAGAATGGGGGAGAGGATGGAAGAGTCATCCCACCATCTTTATTCAAAATGGCCCCCAATTGTATCCAAATCATAACTAAAACCTACTCCTTGATCTCAGGAACCATCAAACAAAATTTGGTTGTGGTGCCTTAAGATGTGTCCAGATGCACAGCAGACAGACAAGCAAACCACTTTCCAAAAGATATAATAGAAAAAGATTATGACTGGCAGCTGTTCTGCCCATCACCTGCCACCTGACCTTTTGAACTGGAAAGGCCAGGGGATAGACTCTGGGACCATGGGCTTTCTCACTGAGCTGTGATCCCTCCGTTAACCCACTCAGTGAATTTCCCCACTGTAATGCACATCAATAGCATTTGCCAATGGAGGCAGGCAAGGAGCTGCAATGCATGAAGACCCTGACTCAGAGCTGAGGAAATGAACCCTGCACGAACTCAGAGGCACTCTCTCCTTTTGTATTACATCTTTGTTTCTAGGACTGAGAACTGACAGTGAAAACCACACCAGTGGACCCTTGGCTCAAATTAAGCCCCACTTCAAATTATTGTGTGTAACTTCTCCGACTTCTCATTTCCTTTGCTAAACACATGATATGTGGTCCAGTTCTCTCTGGTCAAAAGAACATTAATGATCCTGTTAATATTTTCCAGAGTCAGGAGTCAACTCTGCTTGCACAGTTGCACTCCGATTAGGCTCAGAGTGCCGGTAACCTTACGGTCGTAAATGAGTGTCACATATATAGTTGGACAATTATATGTATTGTGACTAAATTTCCCCCTGAAGAGCTCATTCAAGATGTTAGAGTGAAAGGATCATAAAATGAATTAATAGCTGATTCACTGTATAATTTCCTAGTTCAATATACTTTAGTGTACCAGCTAAATGAGGCATACACAGCATTCAGCCTGGCCAGTTAACAACTTTATCATTGAGATTTCAGGCATGGAAATAAAAGCGATTCTTCTGAAGTAATTGCGTCTAATTAAAAGAAACATTTAAAAAGTGTAACCAAAAGGAATTCATTTCAAATGGAAAATTAATGCTGAAAAATAGCCCTAAGCTCTCTTGTCTCTGCTAATAGCTAAGCATTTTCGGAATAATTAAACTGTTTTGAAATGTTGATACCTTCCTCCGTTAGGAATGATTCCCATTCCTGAGCCCATTAGGAAAAGTCTTCAAGGAGTGCCTAGCTGTTAAAGGGGGCAAAGCATGCAGGACAATCAGCAACAGAATGAGACCAAGCGGCAAGCAATGGTTGTGTGAGGCACCATACATTTCCTTAACTCATATACATGTGTCTGTGACATAACAGCATTGGAAGAGGCCTGCTGGGTCAGATCAAAGGCCCATCTAGTCCAGCATCCTGTTCTCACAGTGGCAAACCAGATACCATAGTATAGATATAGATATATATGGGAATGCATATAAAAAATAAAGTGTCCTCAACCACCAATATAGATGGTGAATAAATTTGATTCAGTTTGCATTTAAAGGCAAACCTACCTAATTTTTTGGCCTTTCCAAGATTATATGTGGACTGCAAAGCACCCATCCTTCAAGATTCGCCCTTTCTGAATTTTGCAATTCGGTTCTGCAGCCAAGGAAATATCAAAAATGTGTATACTGGATACAAAAATATGTATACTAAGTGTGCATTAACATGGACAGAAGGGCATTGGTTTGCAAAAGCAAATGTATGCATCGAATTAAAAATGTGCATATTAGGATAAATTTGCACTAAAACGCTGACAAAATTTCAAGAGGATGTGCTGAAATTGACAGTTTTGACAGCCTTGTGCATCCCTTACCGCCAAGCAACACAAAACTCCAACCCATAGCAAATCCTGGAAAGCTGCATCTAATACTCTGCAATGTAAGTGCATCAGTGTTCTGCTCTTTAATTGCCTCAACATGTGTGGGTAACACCTTGCAGCGTGCAGCTTTCTTGTGATGCGGTATGCATTGGCTCACAGGGCACATATGCATATGACAATGTCAGATAAGATACATCTCTTCCATCCTCTCTGAGGGTTAGCTTGCACCTACCCTCTCAAGCAACAGGAGCTTATTTCAGCACTAAAGTGCTTTTATTTCTTGGGGTGAAGATTCACTAAAGTGATCAGGAGCAGTTTATTTGCCACTGCATTGGCAGAGCTGGCCATTCCAAGGCTGTCATTCAATCAAAGTAGTATTGAGTCAATACAAGTCTGAATTAATTAATAGATTGAAAGAAACCAATGTTTCTTTGGGGGGAAGTTCCACTCTGTTCACAGGAGCTCTGTCCCAGGAAAGTGTGAAGAGAGACCTGTAGCCAAAACTCTGCAAAAACAAGCTGCAATTGACTTTTTTAAAAGTGTACTTGTGAAAGCAGGTGTGTGACTAGCCCAAGGTCACCCAGCAGCTGCATGTGGAGGAGCAGAGACGCGAATCCAGTTCACCAGATTACGAGTCTACCGCTCTTAACCACTACACCGCACTGGCTCCACTACACCACTGGAGGACCATCTCTGCCTTAGAAGCAGAGGGGATGTATCTTCTTAGATGGCACCAGCTGTCCATATGATTTGTTGTTTCTTATACTAATATTTGTCATTGTAACATTTAACAAAAAAAAATCTGCTACTCTACAGAGCAATCTAAATAGGCTGCTGCCGCCACATCTGTAGTCTACCACTCACAGCAGAGGAAGGTGGTGGGGAGGCAGATTTGGGCCCAATCTCTTGCCAGCTGAAGCCTGGCACAGAAATTGAATCTGGATAGGGACCTATGCCGGCTGCTGCTGGCTGTAAGAACAGCTTGGGTTTCAGTGGCTCATCCCCAAGCTGCCCTCAGAACACCCCAGTTTGGGGCTTTCTGCTGGTCTCTGCTCACAGGAGCATCACCAATGGGCACCAGTGGGCACAACCAACATGAGGCTGGCAGAGCTGGCAGAGGAATGCATCAAGTCCATCCAAACTTCCAAGAGCATAACAGGGTGGGTGGGGGAGGATTGCAGCCCTGTTCCTATTGATTGACTTAAATAATGAAGCCTTGGTTAGTAAATAAGACGAGTACTTGCCTACAGAATTTATTGTTGGAATCAACTCCCTCTGCTCAAGAAGATAGATGCATCCTCAGTACTGCTTTGTGTTGTCTGTGATATTCACTTGACACATTGCGTCTGCAAATAACACCCAGTAGTGAGAATCAGGGTATATCAAAGAGGCAGGCAGGGTTAGCCGGGGTCACCTGTCAAGCATACATTGGGAAGGGTGGGCAAAGGGCAGCAAGTGAAAACATACATGAGCAAGTCCTTTTGCCAGCTGAAACCCTGAATCCCTTCCAGAAACAAAAATCTGCACTCGTTCACCCAGTGTTTCACAGCTTTAAAATGTGTGTTATATTATTTTAGAGTTGTATGCAAGAGTTCAGCAACGAAAGTACGGCTTCCGCTCAGCAATGCCTCAAAATGCAGTTACAAGCATAATGATCTAGTTCACCACACCCTTGAAATGTCAATCTGAGTTTAGATGGCAAAATCTTTGCATGGTGCCATCAGTGATATGTGTTGTGTATGCATTACAGCAGGCTGCTTAAACACGCATGCACCTTTCACAGTTTGCAGCACTGCAGGTGCATTTTGCTATCTAAAGCTGGGTCCTTTTCATATTCGGGTTCAAAACATATAGTGTGGATCAGCCTAAAATGAATGGGATGTTTCTATTGGGGGCAACACATTTGACCTAAACAAAGAAGCATTTGTCAAAGCACCTTGCAGAATATTGCATGCTTGTAAACATACCCACAATCCACCTTTTCACATTCAAAGGGAAGTTTTTAGCCTTTATCCACTTTAAAATCTTTAGGTGCCATGCAAAAACATTCCTTTGCTCCCAGGCCATTGGCTAATTAAACAACCTATGGCCTTTTAAATAGGGGGTGGGGGTTGTATTGTTTTGTTTGTTATTAAGCTATGTTTTGTTGTGTTTTTATATTATAAACCACCCTGTGGTCCTCGGATAAAGGGCGGTATATAGATTCAATAAATTGATCAGTAATAAAAAACAAAAGATTACAAACTCAGTAAACTAAAGGCCATAAACCCCTCATTTCTGCAATTGTACAGTAATTTCATGAAATGCCTGGTTCACACTTCCAGAGACACCTTCTTAAGCAAAAATGCCTGCAATATTGTAAGACATGAGAATAGGGGGGAAGTGGAAGTGGTGACTGGAAGAGGAGAAAATGAGCAGACACAATCAAGAATAAACTAATTGAAACAAACAAGTTGCAAAATGCTGAGAAGGACTGAATAGATCAGATCTCAGCAGGCAGAGCATCCCAGAACTAAGGAGGAATCGAACAAAAAAAAGAATCAAGGAAGGGAAAATGAAAGATTTGGTTTTGCAAGGCAAAAAGGGAACTCACAGAACATGAGGATCATTGACACAACATAGGTACACATCACGAGGAATTAATTGAAATGTCTGCAAGCTGTAAAAAAGGGCATCTTTTGCAACTCCTGTGTATCTCAGTGAGGTTTGCTCAAGAGAAGTTTCCTGTGGATTGTAGCCCATCTCTGTGTCCTGTGTGTGTTTTAAATCCCTTGATGGTTCTAACTGAGCTAACATTATTAGACCTTGTTTTTTCTCCCCCCCTCCCCTTTTCAGGGAAAAAAAGAAGAAGAAGCTTCCCAAATTCTCTTTGCGTCTCAGCAGCTCCTTAATATGCAAGGCAGCAAAAGATGAGCTTGGTCTAATTATGAGTCCCAGGAGTAGCCAGTCAGAAAATGAATTGATGCCTTTTTCCTTATGAACAATGCATGTACCACAAATTAGCGGCACCATCACCAGAGATTTAATTACAAAATATCATTACTTTCACACATCATTTCAGATTTGGCTGATCAAATCAAAGTTAGGGGAGAGGGGAGGGCAAAGGAGGGAGAGAGGGGGGAGAGGAAAAACTGCACCACTAGCAGGGTCATTCGTTCAGGGGTACTTGGAAGCAGAAGGGAGCTGGTGTTATTGAAGGCTCCCAAAGGCATCTCTGCGGAGAAATGGCTTCAGGGATGATAGGGAAAGGGGAAATCCTTTCTTCCTTCCAAAGGGCTCACAGACAGGTTTGACTTCAGCAGCTGTTTATATCATGGCAGAAATAAATAGGGTGATCACATATATAAGAGGACAGAGCATCAGCACCTCTACAATGTGCAATTTCAGCAGGTATCACTTGCCAGATGGGGGTTGTTGTTGTTGTTTAGTCGTTTAGTCGTGTCCGACTCTTCGTGACCCCATGGACCAGAGCACGCCAGGCACTCCTGTCTTCAGATGGGGGTTAGGATGCCTATATTTGCTGAATGTATTCCACCACCACCACCCCTTCTCTCATCATGATACTAGAGAACCTAGGGCCATCCAAGAAAGCTAAATGTTGGAAGATTCAGGGCAGGGGTCAGCAACCTAAGGCCCATGGGCCACAAGCAGCCCACATGGATTGTTTAACCGGCCCACAAGGCTGCCCCCAAACCGAGCTGCCCGCTCGGTGAGTCCCTGTGCGCTACGCTAAACTGGCATAGCATGGTACGGGGACTCGCTTCCGCGGTGCCGGAAATTGCATCTGCGCAGGTGCCAGAAGTTGCGGGCGCATGCACAATCCAGCCCATGGAGGGATCTCCGCTGGAGTGAACCAGCCAAGGCGAGGTAAACCTTGCCGACCCCTGATTCAGGGCATCTTCACAAAGTGCAAAATTCATCTATGGCATTTGCTACCACAAGGGACAGGGATGCCCACCAACTTGGATGGCTTTAAAAGAGGAATGAGCAAGTTTCACCAATGATAAAGGCTATCAGTGGCTACTAGCTGCAGTGGCTATGTTCTACCTGCCCTGTTGGAGGCAGTATGCATGACGACTAGTGGGAATCACAACTGGGGAGAGTGATCGCACACTCAGCTGGTTGGCCACTGTGGGAACAGCATTGGCCCATTGGTCTGATCCAGCTTCTTATGTTCTCATATACATTTCCCATCTCCATTTATTCATTTGTTTCTTACATTATGCTATTATCAACCCACCTTTAAGTGCTAAGCCCTATTTGCAAGGCTTACATAATAAGAATTAGAATCCTTTTTTAAAAAATGCAATATTATTTAAAAGGATGCTGTTTTAAAGTTTGTTTAGTTTATTAACGGAAAATGAGTTTGATTTTCTGTTATTCTCAATTCATTAAAACTGGATTGTTTGTTAGACTAAAAGCACTGTAGTACTTATCCTTAAGTTGTTTTGAAAAATGCTTTAAGCATGAAGACTTCCCATGTGATTTAGAACCCTGGAAGATCAGTGTTCTAAACTGTGCATATGTTTCCTTTGCAACCTATGAGAGGCATGTAGACTGAGTAGTGAAGAGGTGACAGAGGAGGCAGGACCGGGAAGCAGGATCGTGCTCATCTTCACATCATTATAATCATGTGAAGGGGACTCTCAACAGGGCTACTTTGGCTGCCCCATCTCATGATGACCTACAGACATGAATGAGCCATCGCATTCATGTTACCTTGAACACAATGCTTTCAATGGATCCTCTTAGTTCATTCAGCTGCCAGTCATCAAGTGTAGAGTAATCAAAGAATAAGAAACAGCATTCTCTATTTGAAGAGTTGTCCAGTCCAAGTCTGGTTGAAAGATAAAGAACCATGAGAAAAGAGACCAGGTGAGATTCCTGCATTACAGGGGGTTGAACTAGATGACCCTTGGTTCCCTTCCAATTCTATGATTCTATGATTCTGTGGAATGCCCTCACATCAGATATCAAGGAGATAAAGAACTACATTTTTAGAAGACATCTGAAGGCAGTCCTGTATAGGGAAGTTTTTAACGTTTGATGTTTTATTATGTTTTTATATTCTGCTGGAAGCCACCCAGAATGTCTGGAGAAACCCAGCCAGATGGGCATGGTATGATTATTATTATTATTATTAGCCCATCAACAGTTAGCAGCTGGACAGCAGAATGAGCAGGTCACCTGATCATCACCTTCTCACTATGGTGAGATGCATTGCATTTCTATTGAAAGTATGGTATTTATTTCTAAATTTGAAACTTATCTACATATAAATTAGCATGGGAAAATCTATGTCCCAGTGGGTTAAGTCCTTAATCTAATGAGAAATCATATGACATCCATGTGCATGTAGGAGGCAGACCTTTCCATCAGAAACCCCTCAGGCTAAATGAAGGATGCTAGACATTGAAGGGGGAGGAGGACGATGGGTATTGAAAGTCTTGTCTTCCAAGAAATTTAGCAAGAATCTACTGGAAGCAATAGCATGGGATATTTCCGCAATGGGAGTTTATCAGAGCAAAAGTGAAGGAAGATTTTTCATAACAGACCAGACCATCTGGATCAATATTGCCTGCTATTCTAGGTCTTTCCTATCACCTGAGCCTATCACCTGGTGAGGACAGGGATTGAACTTGTAACCTCTGTTACCTGGTGAGGGGAGAGACTTCATCAGGCAAGACCTTCTTCCGCCTGCCTTGCCCCACCCTCCATCCCTGGGAGTCCTCATAAGGGAGCTGTGCCTGGAGGAAGAACTGTGAGGGGAGAGACTTCATCAGGCAAGGCCTTCTTCTACCTGCCTTGCTACACCCTCCAGTCTCTGCTTCTCAATTTGTATTGTATTATTTTATGCACTGTGGCTTGCCATTGTTTTATTTATTGTAGTTTAGAAGTTATTTATTGTACAGTGGTACCTCAGGTTACAGACGTTTCAAGTTACAGACTCCACTAACCCAGAAATAGTACCTCAGGTTAAGAACTTTGCTTCAGAATGAGAACAGAAATTGTGCTCTTGCGGCGCGGCAGCAGCAGCAGCAGGAGGCCCCTTTAGCTAAAGTGGTACCTCAGGTTAAGAACAGTTTCAGGTTAAAAACGGACCTCTGGAACTAATTAAGTTCTTAACCCGAGGTCCCACTGTAATTGTTAAGAGTGGATTTCTGTTTAATTTTTATATGCTGATATTTAATATTATTCTATACTATTCTAAGGATTGTTGAATGTTACTTTATTTGATGTAGATTGCTTATTTTAAAGTTATGTTTTATTATCACATTTTTGTATTGCATTAGATTGTTATAAGGTGTACATTCTTTGCTTCTTCATCTTGTAAACCTCCTTGGGTATTGTAAGATAGAAAGACGCTATACAAATTAAAAGTAATGATGATGATGATAAGCTTCTGTGGGCAAAGGATGATGCTGCCCACTGAGCAATTGTTGCTCCCTAAAAACCATGAACCTGGATATATCTCGGCATGACTTCTCCACGTTTAAAGGCAGTACATGTTTAGAGGCAGTACACACAGAAATGCAACTGTTGGGAACAAGCAGAAGTGGTTTGCTGCCTTTGTGCCCTGCTTGTAAACTTTAGTGCTCAGAGTCTCCCTTCCAATGTCTCAAAAAAATTCTTCCCCAGCAAAAAAGCGGGCGGGTGGGGAGGTGCTTTCATTTTTCTGCCTCATTCTCAGGGGAACCTTGAGAATTTCCTTAGAACTTTGGGAGCTTTTGAGCTCACCTAATGTGAGATGGCAAAGGCTGGGGTGTGCATTTCTCTTTTCACTAAGCATTGCTCCGGCCCACTGCAGGCTCCCCAGCTGCCTGCACTTCCTGATCTGAAAAAAGACCCATGGGAAGAGTTACCTTGGGATGAATTCCTCTGGGCTTTCATTGAACCCTGGGCACCTGGAAGGACTGCAGAGTGCAAACCACTGGTGAGATGGTGAAAGCCAGGGCAGTCATAGACATCTCTCAACCAAGAAGGTAAGGACAACATAAACCCTCCGCACACACGCACCCATGATAATTTTATCTTCCAATTGCTAATTTTCAAATGCAATTTCTTTTCTCATTAGCTGATGGAGAATTGTTTTGTTTTTTTAATGCAGGAGAAATTTTCAGCACAGCACTAATAAACTTCCAAGAAGCCTCTGGCTGGCCACTACCTCTTGGTCTGAAACAGCAGAGTTCTTCTTACATTCCCAAACCCAGCTCTTAGCTTGATTTTTGCCACCATGGTTTCTGACGGCGATGAAATTAGTGCATATACATGCTGGCACCTGCTTGGTTGTTACACAGATGCCTGGTCTTTAAATAGTGCTGTGTATCCCTGTAAACTAGAGTGACAGATGCGGGGAGGAGGGGGCGAATGCAAGCGGTCACAAACCCTTGAGATTGATTTACAGCTGCAGCTTTCAGGGTAGGCCATGGGTTGTGATTATTTCTCAGGCGGATCTGCGAGCCAATCGTTTCAGGAAGCAAAAACGCTCTCCAGAATTTACGAGGGAAATGACAGCTTGTTGAATGCACGATGTTGCGAGATGTAGTTTTACATTAACTTAAGAGGCACTTATGGGGCGATATTCATCGTCCCTATATTATGGTGAGTATAATAGCAAAGGACGCTATGTCAGCAGGATATTATACCTGACAGATAAGATGTACATGGAGAAGAATGGTGATGCTTGTGACGGAGGACGGCATGGAGGTGCCACGGCAGTGGGCGATTGTTGGAAGGGTGCTGGGTTTCGATGAAATGGAGGCTGTAGCTTATCCTCCACTTTATATGAATAAACGAAAGCTGTGTTCAAGCTCCATTCAAATACTGTATCTGTGCAACAGTTTGCCTTGTTCCTCCTTCTTCTGCCTTGTTACTTTGGTTCACATTTCTGCTTTCATAATAGAAGCCAATGGAGGCTGGTCCATTAGAGTGAATGGTGCACCACCCTCACCAAACTCTGTGCTTGTCATTGGCTCTGGTGCCAACTTTGGGTCCTCTGCCTGCAGCTGTACCAGTTCCATTGGCCCCCAACCGATACTGCTGGAAGCTCAATCAAGTTCCTGCACTAATTGCATTATGCTGAGGCAATGGGGGTATTCCCTATCCTTGGAATGGGAGTGTGTCACTTGATTTCCATGCCTATGCTTGAGAATTATTTGGCTCTTTTTCTTGACTGAAGGTGGGTGGGACTGTCAGGAGTTGAGCCTACACTCGAGTAGGACCCTGGCAGAGACACATGCCCGACTGGCATGTTCCCTCCCTCTTGGTCGATCGTTCGGGAGCTTCAAAAGCTTTCTTCTGCCCAAACATCACAGCAACCGGTGCCAACCGACACCAGCACACTTGGGGATCTGCAGAGTTTACGCATCATGCGCGTGACAGACCTCAGCGGCTCAGCATTTTGGCTAATCTACTTTATTTACATATAAACATACATGGAGCACTGCAACATGGCTCCTTCTCTCTCCAGCATCAGGCAGCAAAGAGAAAAAGAACAAAAGACAATAGTCCCACTTCATGGAACACAGTAACACAAACATCCTGTCTCCGCCACTTCCCACTCTGTGGGGTCAAAACATATACCTTCATGTGAAAGACAAAAATCCCATGACTGCAATCATGGAGCAGGAATTCTAACAGGGACGGGTCATAGAATTGTAGAGTTGGAAGGGACCCTGAGGGTCAATCTGGTCCAATGTCCTGTGATGCAGGAATCTCAATTCAAGCATCCATGACAGATGGCCATCCAACCTCTGCTCCAAGGAAGGAGAGTCCATCACCTCCCGAGGGAAACAGTCCCACTGTCCTGTAAGGGCAAGTCTCCTGTTACATAAAAATGTAACCATAACTATACATTGTGGGAAAACACAAGGCGAACTCATTGCAAATATATCAGGGAGCAGACCTTTGAACTCACAGTGAACACACAAAAAGTCATGCAGAACCCAGAAGCTGCAGCAGAAACACCACAAAATGGAGAGGACTTCCCTAGACAACCAATCACCATTTTACCCCAGCATTACATGTAGCAAGAACCAGCTTCCTGGCTCGCCTTGTGCTAATCAAACATAGGACTAATTTGGGCTGTGCGGAAAGAGCACTTTCTGACGGTTCCAAGGAAGACCGAAACAAAAGGCGCCGGCTTGCAGGCGAAGGAAGAGAGGCATGACGTATGACACCCATTAGACTGTGGCGAAATTAAAAGGATTGATTGATATCAATTATCGGGAACAATTTGTTGCTGCACAATTGACACGTTAATCACCCTCCCTTGCTGCATTTTGGCACGCCGGATTTTTGACCAATTTGAGAGGTTTACGGCAACAATATGATGCTGATTTATCTCTCCTTAATAAAAAAGTGATCAGCTGAAACCTGCATCCATCATTCTGTTTATCACTCATGGTGATTTATTAACTAATTATACTTACAGTGGGTCTTTTTCTATAAGTATGGATAATAGAGTGATATAGTAGTGGTCCAAGTCATAAATAATGCCACTGTACAGTATGTTTAATACTTAGTCAGAGGACCTGCCCATAATATGCTGCCTTGATTAAGGCAACCAGATGGCTTTGTTTGTCAGGAATTCAAGAGACAGAATGAATATATCTCTCTCTTTCACAGTTTACTGTATGTTGTGACAAGGAATTCAGCCACAGATTCCATATAGGGTGGGCATACCTTCTATTAACAGCCTAGTTCCCCAAGCCCAACCCCTGCCCCCAGAAATGGCTGAAACTACCAAATTTAGCTTATTTGCTCCTAACATAGTTTAGAAAACTTTCCACTTCATTTTGGAAAAAGTGAACACTTTTTGAGGGGGAGTGCTTTAGAAATTTGGAGTGTTTTGAAATGGTCACTGACATCCATATTATATATATATATATATATATATATATATATATATATATATAAAATAGAATTAACCATGGGTGTGATCCAATGTTACTCATACTCACCTATTGAAATAAAAGGATTTATGCAATTCAGGTCCATCAAGTTCCATAAGTGTCCTCTGAGTATAATAGATCAGATATCGCCCTATTATTTTAAAAGAAAAAGAAAAAAATATTTAAAACTGGTCCTTTAAAAAAGGGGGGGTACACAGACAAACTGTATCCTTATTATATCCTGCCTCTCCTCAAATGAGCTCAAGGAACCACCTACAGCTTCACCTTCTCATCTCAATAACAGTGTGGGGTGAGAGCTAACACTTGGACAAAGCTCACTCACTGAGCTTCATAGGCTGTGTGGGGATTTGAATTCGTGTCTCCCAGGTCCTAATCCAACACTTTAACAACTGCACCATGCAGGGCTTCCACCATCATCCTCTCTTCTCCTCATGCATCACTCATAGCGTTCTGTTGACAACTGCAGCCAGTAGTTGGTTAGAGTGTAATGCTGATAGTTGCCAAGGTTGCAGGTTCGATCCCCGAATGGGATAGCTGCATATTCCTGTACTGCAGGAGGCTGGACTAGATGGTCCTAAGGGTCCCTCACAACTCTACAATTTTGTGATTCTATGTATTTTTGCTTAGATCTACTCTTGCATCACAGGTCTTCCACCATCTGTTCAAGCTGTGCCCTTAGTCCAAAAGGCTGAACATGAGCTGAGTTGAGCACATTTAAGTTCCTTTGATTTCAGCAGGAAGACTGAGCATATACTTTAACTCAGGGGTCAGCAACCTTTTTCAGCTGTGGGCCGGTCCACCGTCCCTCAGACTATGTGGTGGGTCGGACTATATTTTTTTTGGGGGGGGGAATGAACGAATTCCTATGCCCCACAAATAACCCAGAGATGCATTTTAAATAAAAGCACACATTCTGCTCATGTAAAAACACCAGGCAGGCCCCACAAATAACCCAGAGATGCATTTTAAATAAAAGGATACATTCTACTCATGTAAAAACACACTGATTCCTGGACCGTCTGTGGGCCGGATTGAGAAGGTGATTGGGCAGCATCCGGCCCCCGGGCCTTAGGTTGCCTACCCCTGCTTTAACTCTCCCACTGAAAGTAGCTGGATTTTAAAATGTTTTCACTTGTCTGGATGATGCTACCCACTCTCTACTGTCCCGTAAAGTACGTGTTGATTGACAGAAAAACAAAGGTACAAAAGTAAACTTCAGAGCCCCGAAATCTCGCCTTAGTTTCAGCTTCCATCCATCCATCAAAATATCTTTATAAAGTTTGCAATCCAGCAAACTGGCCTAAGCACACTTCTAGATGTCCCCTAGCGGCACAAATATATGTGGTCAGTCACCTTGTCTAGCTCAAAGGCATTTTGATGCGACTCTATTAAATAACTATGCCTAATAATGTAATTCTCAAGGAGAAAAGGACAGCTCAGGAAAAAACTGTACACTCATGTATTCAAAAGTATCGTCTAAGATCGGAACTAGAGAATCGCCCTGTTCATCATTATTATTTTTTAAATTTCTTTATCACCTTTCATCCGAAGATCACAGGGCAGTTTACAATATAAAAACAAAAAAATGCATACCATAATGACAAACAAAAGCAATAATGTTATAAAGGTAAAGGGTAAAGGGACCCCTGACCATTAGGTCTAGTCGTGACCGACTCTGGGGTTGCGGCACTCATCTCGTTTTATTGGCCGAGGGAGCCAGCGTACAGCTTCCGGGTCATGTGGCCAGCATGACTAAGCCGCTTCTGGTGAACCAGAGCAGCGCACGGAACCGCGTTTTACCTTCCCGCCGGAGCGGTACCTATTTATCTACTTGCACTTTGACGTGCTTTCGAACTGCTAGGTTGGCAGGAGCAGGGACCGAGCAATGGGAGCTCACCCCGTCGCTGGGATTCGAACCGCCGACCTTCTGATCAGCAAGTCCTAGGCTCTGTGGTTTAACCCACAGCACCACCCACATAGTTTAAAAGGCCATTGATTGTTTAATTAGCCGGGAAGAAGAGGAATGTTTTTGCCTGACACCTAAAGATATGTAACAAAGAAGGTGCCAAGTGAGCCTCCCCAGGAGGACGACGATGATGATGATTACCATGCCCATCAGAATGGGTTGCCCCAGCCACTCTGGGCAGCTTCCCACAGATAAAAAAAACCATAAATAAAATATCAAACATTAAAAGCTTCCATATATGGGGCTGCCTTCAGATGTCTTCTAAAAGTTGTGTAGTTATTTATCTCCTTGACATCTGGTGGGAGGGCATTCCACAGGGTGGGTGCCACTACTGAGAAGGTCCTCTGTCTGGTTCAGGCATTCAGCATAGGGTCACAAAGTGTGTTGGGTGGGAGTGGGAAGTTTTTTTCAGCTCTAGGGCCACACTGCCATGCAGGGAACTTTTTGCAGGCCACAGGCAAGTGATGGGCAGAGCCAGAAGAAGATTTGGGTAGAGCACTGGATGTGTATAATAGGCTGAGGGAACCAGATCCACACACTCCATGTCCTTACTATAAGTTAAACATCACTTCTGTTTGTCATGGAGAGAGGGAGAAGGAACCCTAAGGAACAAGTGTAATTAAAGTGCTATAAGAGCCTTATGTGAAGCATACTCAAGTAGGGTGAAATGTGCTTGGTGGAAAGAGTTTCCATAAGAAACCCCCAAAGATTGATCTGTGGAATGGTTACCGTAACTATTCTCCTTTCCCTTTTCACTCTCTGTTGTGAAAGAGGTGCTTCAGGGCAGAGAGGCAGAATATTGCATATCTTCCAACTTTTCCCAAATGAAAACAAGGACCTGCTTGTAACATCTCTATGTTCACTCCAAGAACCACTGTCTGGCCCACAGACACAAATACACACACCTCTGCCCTGTTACACGTTGTTGCAAGTTATGGTATTTCATTTACCTGTTTTAAAACCAAGAAGGTATTTGTACTTTAGATTTAATATAGTCTAAGAAAACATTATTGGCCTGCTCACTGTTATTAACAGTACAAGGTGTACTCTTGCCAACATAGGAGCCAACTTCTAGAAGCCAAGGAGACTTCAGCTCCCCCAATAAAATATCTGAGAGGGCCACCCCTGCCCAAGTTAATGGGCATGCCATTCTAATGGTGTAGGTGCACCATGTCATGTGACTGATTGTGCGGGGGGGGGCTTACCTGCCCCCCCCCAATATTTTGTTCAAGTTGACACCCCTGCTTGCCACCATGTGAAATGGTAAGTCTGCATATTACTTCTCGTTCCTGCTTGTGCACTAACACACATGCGATGAAATTTGAAAAGTGGCAAATCCAGCATCTCCCATGAGCAGAGTTTTAACAAAGCATCCCCTAAAGTCAAACACTGGGGCACAAATAGGGGCAGCAATTTACCAGGGACATGGTCCATGCAATCAGAAATGTTTCTGGTGATCTTCCTAATTTTTATTCAGAATCTCCTCTCTCGTTATTTATACCCTCTGGAGCAGCAGGAAACAAGCTTGCTCCATGTGACAGCCCTTCAGATATTTGAAGATGACTATCGTCTCATCTCTCAATCTTCTCTTCTCCAGGTTAAACATACCCACCTCCCTCAACCGCTCCTCATCAGGCTTCGTTTCCAAGCCCTTTATCATCTTGGTTGCCCTCCTCGGCACACATTCCTGCTTGTCAATATCCTTCTTAAACTGTGGTGCCCAGAACTGAGCTACAGGTCTAAAGGGAAAGGAGCTGGGCTAATATTCTGATTTAAGTCCTGGGACCTAGGATTGTTCCTTTTTTATAAACAACAGCAACATACTAACATGGACAACTTTTTCAATATAAAAAGAAACAAAATACACAAATTGTACAAGATAAACATGCATCTATAGCAATATTTTTACAGTAAATTAAACTTTGAGTCTCACAACTGTAGAACTGTGAAACTGCCAGTAATTAACAAAGGAAGTCCAATCTGAACAAAATTGTTATATCTTTGCCTCGCTCCTCTCACTCTGGTATAACTTGTCAATTTTGACACAATTGCATAATGGGATGAACAATATTCTCTCTTTTTTCTTTCTTTCTTTTTTGCATAGCACACTCATGCAGCAGTAACCCATGTATGAAATTAATTCATGATAGTTAAATGGTATATCCCTTAAATAAGTTAACAAGAAGATTAATGGTTCTCAATGTAATTGTAAGCCCCTGATCCTCTCAACTGCTGTATTAATTTTGTTACAGAATGTTACAGCTAGGACCTAGGGTGGTTTCTAAGGAAAGTCATTGAGAACTATTGTGCTGGGTGCTTTAAAATTGTATGGCATAGTCTGAGTGGCTCCAAACCAGAAGTGTGACTTAATTTCCTCTTAAGCCAAAGGGTCCAAAGGTATTCAATTACCTGCGTTCCATAAGCATTTAGTATACTGGCTACATCCCTGCTCAGCTGATTAGACTGCCACCATGCCAGTCTCCTGCAATAGCTTTATATGGTGTCAGTTGTCCTCTTTGGGCGTCTGTATCAGATTGTTATGGATATTCAAGAAGGATGGGTGAGCAGCCTTTAAAGTGTTTCATTTCAAAACTACAAAGGTATACTTCTGCCTTGCGGGGAAAAACAGACAGGCACGTAGCTGAAATTGTGGGGCTTATTTACTAGAACCCTGTGCTAGCAATCTCAATACCCAGAGGGGCAAGTAGAATCACAGCCCCAACCCACCCCCAAAGAGACCCAGTGTGGTGTAGTGGTTAGGGTGCTGGACAAGGATCTGGGAAACCAGGGTTCAAATCTCCACTCGACTGTGAGTGGTCAAGCTCACTGAGTCTCAAAGCGGCTAACATTCTCCTTTCCCTTCCTCCCCCACAACAAACACTCTGTGAGGTGAGTGAGGCTGAGAGACTTCAGAGAAGTGTGACTAGCCCAAGGTCACTCAGCAGCTGCATGTGGAGGAGCGGAGACGCGAACCCGGTTCACCAGATTACGAGTCTACCACTCTTCACCACTACACCACACTGGCTCTCACAGGGTTGTTGTGGGGGTTAATTGAGGAGGAGAACAACTAAGTACACTACCTTGAGCTCCTTGGAGAAAAAGGTGAGCTATAAATGCAATAAATATAAATAAATGAGACCTCATGAGCATTCAGCATCCCCTTGTGCATGAAGCTTGCACATATTGGGACACAGGTGGCTCCTGTCTGTGTGGTCAAGGAAGGGAGCACATGAAAACCCTGTATGTATGTGAGTTCGCCTGAGCTCTGCGAGTGCGGCTTTCTTCTGATAGAAGTGCAGTGTTTGAGGACCAGGACATTCGCAGGGAAACCAAAATGCTTGTTTACAAAGCTATTGTACTACCAATCTTACTGTATGCTTGTGAAACATGGACCACTTATAAAAGCCATCTCCAACTCCTTGAAAGATTTCATCGACGGTGTCTCCGAAAATTTTTACACATCACTTGGGAAGACAGGCGAACTAAGACCAGTGTACTGGAAGAAGCAAAGATCACCAGTGTTGAAGCAATGATTCTTCAACATCAACTTCGCTGGACTGATCATGTTGTGCAGATGCCTGATTATCGTCTTCCAAAGCAACTACTCTACTCCAAACTTAAAAATTGAAAGCGTCATGCTGGTGGTCAACAAAAGAGGTTTAAAGACACTCTCAAGGCAAATCTTAAAAATGCAGTATAAACACCAACAATTGGGAAACACTTGCCCGTGGGCACTCCAACTGGAGAACACCTTTACCAAAGGCGTCATGCGCTTTGAAGACACTCAAACTCAGGACGCAAGGGAGAAACATGCTAAGAGGAAGACACGCTTGGCAAATCCACACCGTGATCAACTCCCGCCCGAAACCAATGTCCCCTCTGTGGAAGGACGTGTGGATCCAGTCCACAGTCACTTACGGACTCATTGTTAAAACCATGTTTATGGAAGACAATCTTACTCGGCTACGAGTGATCGCCAAAGATAGAAGAGCATACTCTCTGCACATGAGGCATGATGAATGCATGGAGGGCATAGATGAATGCTTGCCCCTGCGATCCCACTCATTTACCTAAAGTGTATCTAGATTTAGAATACCTGGGTTTTATTAGAAGTGTGCTTTCATTGAAAACAGCAGTTGTGTGTGTCTAATATCTCCATCTCCTTCCAGTCAGGTGTCCTGACATCAGGGCATCCTTTCCAAGCTATTGACTTCTGATGGTGGATAGTATGGAAGTGCGGAACATCAAGGAGCAGGGAAGTCACAATAGATATGACATACCTTCCAACATTTGTCCAATAAAAATAGGGATGTCCCAGTCCATAATGATAATTTTACTATTTATACCTCACACATCTTACTGAGTTGTCTCAGCCTCTCTGGGCAACTTCTAACATATATAAAAACATCATTAAATATTAAACATTTTTTTAAAAGAAAAACCCTTCCTTATAAAGGATTGCCTTCAGACAGCTCGGGGGTCAGATAATGCCATACCCTCCAACATTTCTCCAGTAAAAAATAGGGACATCCCACCAAACCCTCCAACATTTCTCCAAGGGAAATAGGGACACCCTAAGGAAAAGAGGCAGGTTGCACTGTGGTCTAAACCACAGAGCCTAGGACTTGCTGATCAGAAGGTTGGTGGTTCGAATCCCTGCGACAGGGTGAGCTCCTGTTGCTCAGTCCCTGCTCCTGCCAACCTAGCAGTTCAAAAGCACATCAAAGTGCAAGTAGATAAATAGGTACCACTCCAGCGGGAAGGTAAACGGCGTTTCCGTGTGCTGCTCTGGTTCGCCAGAAGTGGCTTAGTCATGCTGGCCACATGACCCAGAAGCTGTAAGCCGGCTCCCTTGGTCAATAAAGCAAGATGAGCGCTGCAACCCCAGAGTCATTCGCAACTGGACCTAATGGTCAGGGGTCCCTTTACCTTTTAAGGAGAAGTGGGACTTTCCAGGATCAAATCAGAAAATGGGACAGTTTCTCTAAATAGGGGCACTTGGAGGGTCTGATATTATAGAGGGGAAACTGGACATGACACATAGTTGCCATTGGGATGTGGCAGGGAATTTGGAGGGGCTGCGGTTGGTTCAAGGTGTTGAGAGACTCCTGTTCCCTTCCCAGAGTTACAGTTTCCAGAGTTCCCTATGAAGAGGGTTTGATTGTTCATCTGTTCTGAAGCTCTAGCTCTGTGAGGGGAATGGAGTCTCCTAACAACTGTCAGCATCCTTAACAAACTACAACTCCCAGAATTCTTTGAGGGAAAGCCATGACAGTTTAAAGTGGTATCGTGGTGCTTTATAAGTATGGTGTGAATGTGGCCTTGGGGGTTGAACATAGCCCACTGTGTGGGAATAATTATTTGCCCTGACTGCGAACAACGCTGAAGGGATGATCAGATCCAGATCAGATCAAGAAAGAGCCAGGGGTTCCTTCGAAGTGACAAGTTAAAGATGAACCGAACGGTTCTCACATCCCAAACCAAGATTGTTAAGAGGGGAAAAGAAAATGCAGACCTTCATCTTTCTCTCTTTTCATTAGTTTTTGAGGAAACTCTACATTCTCACTATTTGGAGGAGCCTAAATCACAGAACCTGACAGAACTTGGGAGCTATTTATCAACCAAGAAGCCATCTTTGAAGAGGCAAAATTGAAGCCGTCTTTTTTGTTGTTATTGGTGTTATAAAGAACACTAGCGCCACCTGCTGAAAATGTTCTCCTCCTTCCAACTCTCCCCCCCCCCTCCACTTTTCCTTCTGAAGGCAGCCAACTATATATGCCTACCCCATCAGGCTGGTAATTATGCATAAAGAATGCCAGTTTATAGCTAGCACTACACAAGGGAGTGATGTGACCATCGCTATATCCATCAACCTTTTGATTCCCCACATGAATGGATTGCCTCATCAGCTGCTGACTGGAAGTAGCCATCCATGAGAATTGAGATGCTATGCATCTCACTGTCACCCTCCCAAAAGAAGCCATGTGTGTGTGTGTATCGATATAATTTATCTACAGTATTTATACCTCACCCTTTTGCCCAAAAGGCTCTTTGAGTGGCTTATACAAATCAGTTCTACGACAGGCCCTGCCCTCGGGATCACGATCCAAAAAGATGCAGCATGTGAGGAAAAATGGAATGGGAGGGAGGAGGGGAAAGCAAGCTCAAACACCAGTTCTGAAACTTGCTCAAGCACCATAGCCCAGGCTAGCTAGCTGTCCTGCCCTTGATGAAAAGCAGTCCTTCCCCTGGAGCACTCTTCTCCACAGATCAAACCCAGGACCAGAGCTGGTGACAACATCCAGGCTAGAAGAACTTGGGGTGCATTCACCTTATAGTGGCACTATAATACCACTTTAAACAGTCATAACTTCCCCCCAAAGAATTCTGGGAACTGTAGTTTGTTAAGGTTGCTGAGGGTTGTTAAGAGACCCCTGTTCCCCTCACAAAGCTACCGTTTCCAGAGAGGCTTAACACTCAATCCCTTTTTACAGGGAACTCTAAAAAAATATATCTCCTGGGGATGCCAAGGATTGAACCTGGGGCATTCTGCATGCAAGGCAGATAAGTCTATCATGCAATGACAGCCCTTCAAGAGCCAGTGTGGTGTAGTGGTTAAGAGCAGTAGACTCGTCATCTGGGGAACCGGGTTCGGATCTCCGCTCCTCCACATGCAGCTGCTGGGTGACCTTGGGCCAGTCACACTTCTCTGAAGTCTCTCAGCCCCACTCACCTCACAGAGTGTTTGTTGTGAGGGAGGAAGGGAAAGGAGAATGTTAGCCGCTTTGAGACTCCTTCGGGTAGTGATAAAGCGGGGTATCAAATCCAAACACCACTTCTTCTTCTTCTTCTTCTTCTTCTTCTTCTTCTTCTTCTTCTTCTTCTTCTTCTTCTTCACCACAGTCATGCATTGGGCAGGCATCTTGGCCAATTGTGAGATGTTCTGCTTTCTAAGCAGGGGAAAGTGTCTAGAGAACACTACCAGCGTGTTCTCTATGCAGCTGCTGGGTGACCTTGGGCTAGTCACACTTCTCTGAAGTCTCTCAGCCCCACTCACCTCACAGAGTGTTTGTTGTGGGGGAGGAAGGAAAGGAGAATGTTAGCCACTTTGAGACTCCTGAAGGGGAGTGAAAGGCGGGATATCAAATCCAAACTCTTCTTCTTCTTCTTCTACCTAGTGTTGTAGGCCCTATCTTCATTGTACATTGTACAGCCATGGCTTCTTCCCCCAAAGAATTCTGAGAGCTGTACTTTGTTAAGGGTGTTGAGAGTTGTTAAGAAGATCCCTATTCCCATCACAGAGATCCAGTTCCCAGAGTTCCCCAGGAAGAGGGACTGACTGTTAAACTACAGTGAGAATTGCAACTCTGGGAGGCCTCCTGGCAACGCTCAGCACCCTTAACAAACTACAGTTCCCAAAGGATTTGGGGGGTGCCATGATTGTTTTAAAGTGGTATGATGCCGCTTTAAATGTACAGTGCAGATGGAGCCGTAGAACAGAAACCTGCTGGGGGGGGCTCTTTTTAGAGCCAAAAAGAAATGCCTTTAGAAATATAGTTTAATGTGCATGAAGGACAGGCTTTGTGCAGGTGTTAATGGCAATGGAATTATAGCACGGAGATGCTGAAATGTTGATCTCTTGGCTTACCATGTGGTTTCAACACATTGTACTTGGTTTTCTGCATGCAGCATGCTGCCATTCCAATAACCAACGCACAGTGGTATCATTCAGTACCCGAAGCAGACAATGCGTGTGTTGTGAAGGGAAGACAGCACCATTGCTTGAATTGGAGCAACTTCTCTGAAGCAGGTGTGCAAAGTTTTGAAGTTCAAATAGTTCATCTTCAAGAGGAATGCAGAAGAACTCTGTGAAACTCAGTAAAAGATGTATCCTTATTTCATGTATCCCATTTTCTGGGACAAGCAGAATAATAATAATAATAATAATAATAATAATAATAATAATAATAGGATTGTATGCAAAACTTATCTGATGGGTTTGGTTCATTATTTTGCCACAAGATGGCACTCAAACTTCTTTTCCAACGCATCCCAAATTTATCTGTTTATTCAAAGCATTTCTATGTTTCGGAACATGGGTTGTATATAATGCCAGCTGAAGTTGATGGACATGACTAATTTAGGTTCATTAATTTCAGTTTGCCTGCTCTGGGTAGAACTAGCATTGGCTGCAAGCCCAAATCACAATGCTGTTTACAACCTATCTTCAAACTTCAAGCAGAACTTCCTAACTATTCTAACATTTTCAGAATTAAATGAAAATTCATTCCAATAAAAAAAAAAACACAAATACAAAATGGTCCACGTTTTAAAGCAGGACAATTAACAGGAAAACAAAATATGCTTATGTAAAAAAGAAATACAAATTACAATTTAAAAATCTACATGTAAAAGCATCATTAGTGACTCAGTTCTGCTTTTTTATCCTGCTACATCCCAATTGGCTAAATAATAAAAATCTACCTGCTTTGTGCAAAAGAATTTCATGATGTGTTCCAGGAAAATTCCAGTTTATTGTCCTTTTTCTATCTGTGCTAAGTTTATTTCTATATACTCGTACCATTCCTATTTATCTATCCTTGGAACAATATTGTCTTCATATAGTTGCTATTTTCTATTTTGGTGAGATACTGGGAAAGCAATTTAAATCATTATTAGTGTATACCTTCCTTCCCCAACCTGGTGCCCTCCAGATGTTTTGGACTACAACTCCCGTTGGCCCCAGTCAACAAGGCCAATGGTATGGGGTGATGGGAATTGTAGTCCAGAAACCTCTAGAGGGCACCAGATAGGGGAAGGTTGGACTAAAGTAGGTAGTGAACTTGTGACTCTTCAGACATTGCTGGACTACATCTCCCATGATCCTTGGCCGTTGGCCATGCTGGCTGGTGTGGCTGAGACATGGAGCCCAACAATAGCTGGAAGGCCACAGGTTCCCCCTGACTGCACTTGGGGTTTCAGCTGCTTCTTCCAGATTTCAAGACTGGGACCTACATGTGGATTGCATTCAGTATACAGTATATGGCATGCAACTAATGTGTCCCATCAGTGCAAGGATTTAAGCTTGCGCAGCAGAACTGCCTGCATCTTTGTGCACCCTGCACTCTCCCCCAATCTGCTCTGGAGAGTTGGGGGAACCCATAGAACAGATTAAGGGGGGGTGCAGGGGGAGGAGAGAAGGTAAGTTCCATTTTGCAAGTGCAAATCCTTGCACTGATGGGACACGTTAGTTAGATACTGCCCAATAAGTAAGGTGTGGTTTGGATCTCCATGTTTGTGTGTAGCTGCATATCTCGTGTGGGGTGTTATAGTTTTCATTTGCTATTACAATACGTATTTTGTGGTTTTATGGTGGTACCTTGGTTCTGAAACGCCTTGGTACTCGAACAACTTGGAACCCAAACACTGCAAACCCGAGCGGTTTGCAGACTTTTTTCGGAAGCCAAACATGCTCTGTTTTGAGTGTTATGCTTCCAATTTGAGTGCCACTCTTCCATTTTGAGTGTTAAGCTGAGGTCTGTCTGTTTTTGCTATTTATTTTGTGTTTCTGCTTTTGTGACTGTATGGAACCCAGTTCAGCTACTGATTGATTGACTGTGTGACTGCAGTACATTGTTTATTGCTTTCATTTTATGTATCAATGGTCTCGTTAGATAGTAAAATTCATGTCAAATTGCACTTTTAGGGGTTATTTTTAAAAGTCTGGAACAGATTAATCCCTTTTGCTTTACTTTTTATGGGAAAGCGCGCCTTGGTTTTAGAAGGCTTTGGTTTTGGAACAGACTTCCGGAACGGATTAAGTTTGAGAACCAAGGTACCACTGTATATTGTAAACCACCCTGTGATCTTCAGATTAAGGGCACTATTAAATTTATTAAATAAAGAATAACAACAAGAAATAATAACAACAACAACAATCCAGATAAGACTGAGTCACTGTTACTGGGTGGTTCCCTAGACCAGATGGCAGGGAGGTTGCCTGCTCTTGATGGGGTTATACATCATCTGTTTTTGTTTTGTTTTTTTTCCTTTTGTTTTTTTTAATAATAATATTTATTCCAAGTTTAAAGTTACAAAAAGAAAAAAGAACAGTACAAAATACAAAAAAGAATATAACAATAACAGAGAGGGGGGGAAAGAAAAAAAAAAGAAGGTATAAAAATACTTTCAATTGAAATAGAACAAGAACAGATTAAACCTTTACATAACTTTTTTCCTTTACTTATTTCCTTGACCTCCTCTCACCTCCCAATTTTGTATTCTAGTTCAGATCATTTTTTCAGCAAATCCTTCCAACCTTATTTTCATTTACGTAATTTAATTTAAAGTATTATAGTTTAACATCCTCTCTTTCATCAATTTCATCAACTCATTTTTGCTTAATCCTTTATATCATATCTACCAAAACTACCTAATTGTCTTTGTCCAACATCTTCCTAACAGTCTTTAATATTACAATATTTTTGAAGATATACTTTAAATTTTTTCCAATCTTCTTCCACCGACTCTTCTCCTTGGTCCCGGATTCTGCCAGTCATCTCAGCCAGTTCCATATAGTCCATCACTTTCATCTACCATTCTTCTCGGGTGGGTAATTCTTGTGTCTTCCAATACTTTCCGATGAGTATTCTTGCTGCTGTTGTAGCGTACATAAAAAAGGTTCTATCCTCCCTTCGCACCAATTGGCCGACCATGCCCAGAAGGAAGGCCTCTGGTTTCTTCTGGAAGGTATATTTAAATACCCTTTTCATTTCATTATAAATCATCTCCCAGAAGGCCTTAATCCTTGGGCATGTCCACCAAAAGTGAAAGAATGTGCCCTCCATCTGAAGGAGCAGGTTCATAGCTTGGGGGTACTCCTGGATCCTTTGCTGTTGCTCGAGGCTCAGGTGGCCTCAGTGGCCCGGAGTGCCTTCCATCAGCTTTGGCTGGTTGCCCAGCTACACCCTTATCTGGACAGGGATAGCCTAACTACTGTTGTTTATGCTCTGGTAGCTTCAAGGTTAGATTACTGCAATGCGTTATACGTAGGGCTGCCTATGAAGACGGTTCGGAAACTTCAGCTAGTGCAGAATTCAGAGGCCAGGTTGCTCACCAGAGCAAGATGGTTTGAGCATATTACAACGATCCTGGTCCAACTGCACTGGCTACCAATTAGGTTCCGGGCCCAATTCAAAGTGCTGGTTTTGACTTATAAAGCTTTACATGGCTCAGGAATGCAGTACCTCAAGGACTGCCTCTTTCCATATGAACCTACCTGAGATCATGTTCTGAGGCCCTCCTTCATGTGCCTCCTCCTTGAGAGGTCAGGAGGGTGGCAACACAAGAACGCGCCTTCTCTGCAGTGGCTCCCCATCTGTGGAATGCTCTCCCCAGGGAAGTTTGCCTGGCGCCTTCATTATACACTTTTAGGCACCAGGCAAAAATGTTCCTTTTTAACCAGGCCTTTGGCCAATCTGATTGACATAATATATGTTGCTCTTTGGGGGGGGGGTGTTATTGGGTTATTATTTTTATTTCGGTTTTATATATTCTGATCTTTTCTGTGAACCACCCTAAGACTTCTGGGTATAGGGCGGTATAATAATAATAATAGTAATAGTAATAATAATAATAATAATAATGTAAAGGTAAAGGTACCCCTGCCCGTACAGGCCAGTCGTGTCCGACTCTAGGGTTGCGCGCTCATCTCGCTCAAGAGGCCGGGAGCCAGCGTTGTCTGGAGACACTTCCGGGTCACGTGGCCAGCATGACTAAGCGGCATCTGGCGAACCAGTGCAGCATACGGAAACGCCGTTTACCTTCCCGCTATAAAGCGGTACCTATTTATCTACTTGCACTTAGGGGTGCATTCGAACTGCTAGGTGGGCAGGAGCTGGGACCGAATGACCGGAGCTCACCCCGCCGTGGGGATTCGAACCGCCGACCTTGCGATCAGCGCCACCCGCGTCCCAATAATAATGGTGCAAAAGTACATGGAATGTGTGTGGGCATATCTACTCCCACACCCTATTTCACAGGAAGGTTGATTGTGGTTGATCTTGAGGGCCCCAAACAAGTAGGGAAACTTAACTCCTATTACCTTGAAGAACTGGAACCTGCCCTACCAAACCTTGCTTACCTGAGTTCTTAGTTGAGCAACATACTAGGATGACTAGCATGGTGCTTATCTCAAGACCAGCCCATAACACCCCAGATTATTTGATAGAGATCGCATTATTTGTACTGGTATGCTGCCCAGCTCCCTGTGGCTATTATGGTGTGTTGGTAATCATAGAATCATAGAGTTGGAAGGAACCCCAAGGATCATCTAGTCCAACCCCCTGCGATGCAGGAATTCTGCTCACAGCCATCCCTGGGTAGAATTGAAAAACCAACCTTCTGGCTAACAGCCAGGCACACTGACACACTGCACCACCGAATCTACCTCCTTGCGCTTCTCTCCCATTATATAGTACCAACCGTGTCTCTGAATCAAGGAGATTGCACTTTTTTCTGCCCTGGCTCCTGAACAACAATAGAATCATAGAATTGTAGAGTTGGAAGGGGCCCCAATCCCCTGCAATGCAGGAACCTTTTGCCCAAGGTGGGGCTTGAACCCTGAGATTAAGAATCCTATGCTCTACCAACTGAGCTATCCCTGACCTCCATTCAGTCACATCATCCTTTTTGGGTTGAATCCAGCAAAGTTACTGTGGGAGCAGAGCAACTTCCACTTGTGCAACATAATTTTTCCTTCCCTCTCATCCCTCTGTGCACGCCTGCATACCCTTCCCAATCTGTTCTAGAGGTTTTTCTCAACCTTGGAGGGGCATGCTGGGGGTGGGGGAGGTGGAGAGAGAGAAAGTTGTTGCTATTGTTTATTTCATTTTGATACTGCTTTATAATTTCAAGGGGGGGATATCAAAGCTGTTTAAAACACATTAAAACATCAAATAAGACAATCCATCATAAAACACTACTGAAAAAAGTCATTTTTGACTATTTGAAGAAAGTCAGTTATAAAGTACAGTCATACCTTGGGTTACAGATGCTTCAGGTTGCATTTTTTCCAGGTTACTGACCTGCCGAAACCTGGAAGTACCGGAATGGGTTACTTCCGGGTTTTGACAGTCGCACATGCACAGAAGTGCCAAATCGCAACCCACGCATGCACAGATGCGCTGCTGCGGGTTGTGAACACTGCAGGTTGCAAACGTGCATCCCACATGTTCGCAACCGAACATCCACTGTATACATTCAAAGCAACATAATTAACAGGAAACCAAACTATTATCTTAAAAATTGTAAAATAAAACATTGCAAAGGAGGTCGACAACAGAAGGCATATTTAATGCCACAAAGTTAACAAACAAAAAATCTTAACCATTTCAAAAGAAGACATTACTAAAGGAAGTCAAATATAAAATTCAGCTTTAAAAGAGCATAACTGACAATAGAATAAAGTTCTGCTGCATGGACAGAAGTCATTCTGTTCATGCAATGACGTGGCTGAATTCAACCCATTAAAAAGCAAGCCATCATAGCTCAGAGAGAAGTGTGGGTGCGCTCTAGGAAGGACTGTCAAGTTGTGCACACACTAAACCTTCAAAGAACATTGTTTCGCTCAAAAAATTCTGGGCACTGATGTTTGTTAAGTGTCGCTGGGAAACTGGCAGTGCCCAGAATTCTTTGAGCAAAAGATTGTGCTTTAAAGGTATTGTGGGTGCGCCATACCTCAAATTCTACAGAGCAAAGGTGAGGGCCAACAGCCGTGGCCACATCCTGCATGAAATGGGTGTGTTAACAACATCCTCTGCCACACCTAGGATCACCTGGCAGAGAAGCAGAAGTTGCTCAATGGGTGAGTTGATGCAGCAAGGAGGTCCCTGAAGCTAGAAAGTCTGAAGAACCACCAAACAAACACACCTTAAGATCAAATGAAAAAGAGGAGCGTAAGGTTTAGAGTAAGGGAACAGAGCCGTTTGTGACTTCAGATCACCCAAAAAGGCAGCTGGAAATATAATACAGATGGCTGGGGAAATAATTAATAAAGCAATAACTACGAGCAAGCAAGTTAAGGAAAGAAAAATTCACCGCACAGTTTTCAGGAGAATGATCGTAGCTAATAACCCCATCGGCAAGATTTCTGAACCATGGATTTTTCTCATGAGTTAGCAAAAAAAAGCAATGCTGGCTGTTCACGATTTACAGCATTGTCATCAATTACGTTTTAAGACTGGAATTTTGTATCATCAGTAAAGACACATTTTATTTTTATATAGCATCTATAATACACACTTAAGGAGAATGATAGTGTTGTCAGAGGACATTGTGATGATGGAGAGAGGGAAGGCAAGGGCTGCCCAGAAAGAGTTTAATCTGCAAGATATTTAGTGGCTGACAGATTTAAGGGAGAGTCACAGGGGCATCTTTGCAAGGTGGATGGTTACCAAAGGAGCAGCCAGATAGATTTTTACCCGGCTTAACAGAAATGCAAATGACTTTCATATACAGTTGTCTATTTAAAGTGTCCCATCTGTCTGTGACTCTGTCCGTCAGCTTGTCCAAATCTCTACTTGAACCATTTTGAGGGCATGATAATAATAATAATAAACCTCTGTAGAAATAGAGTGATGGGGTTGAGTAAAAGGTAGTAGGCTGTGTTTTGGGAGCTAGTAGCCTTTCAGGTCATTGATGGAAAAAGATCCCCCAGATGCTCCCAGGGCAAGGGTGGAATGACTGGTTTCCTATGCTTTCAGGAGTCACCAAAAGACACTGGCAACCATTGGACCCATCTCATATCTATTTGCATAACTAGAAACCAATAAACACAAGGGTTTCAGCTCAGGCCCTAACTGCCAGCCATATCAGGCCTATTCAGGCAGGTCTAGGCCTCATTTGAGTCACTCTGAGACAGCCCTGGGTCACTACAGGTTGGGTTGAGCAGCCCAAGGCCATTCAGGGCTGTCAGGGAGCAGGCGTCAGGCAGGACAGAGAGGTAGGCATGAGTGAGAAGGAGAAACCAAGAAGGAGGGACCTGTTGGGCAGCTGCATCTTTGTGGAAGAAAGATGGCAATCTGGAAACAGTGGCTCATGTTCTCCTGTCCTGTCCCCTTTATAAAGATCTGAGGAATGAGATCATCACCCCACTCTTACTTACCATCCCAGGCCACATTGTTCTTTCTTTTATCAGACCAAAATGGTCAGACAACAGCAAAGGTTGCTAGGTTTATCGAGGGTGCAGTGAGATTAAGGACCACTATCTGAACGATAATCTTGGTCATTTGAATGCCCTTTTAACCCATTGTTGTCTTTTTAATTGTATATAACGCTTGTTTTATGTTGCTATGGTCGTTGGCTAATGCAAATAAAGTTTATCTATCTAAAAAAGAAAGATGCTAGGTCTCTCCATCTTCCTGCCAAGCATCTCCTCCTTCCTGCCCCCTGTGCAGAACCAAACAGTGAAAATGTTCTGGAAGGGCTGTAAACGCCATCTTCGTAGTCAACCCCAGGACAAATTGGTAGCTGCTGCCAGAATGAGCTCACCTATGTTTATGTCACTAAGGCTCCTTCTGTCAACATTCTTAAAGTCCAAGGTCAATCTCTATTTCACACAGTTCTTATCTTGTGACTGGAAAAACCCCAGCTCCACTCTTGTAACAGTTTCAAAAGCTCCCTCTAGAGGGAAACAGTCTCCACTTGTATCAATCCTTTCAAACACAATTTAAACTATAAAGTTAGTTTCTTTTCCCACTTTTTAAACGCAGATGAGTACAATGGAAACAATATATTTCTCTTATTGCTAGCTGTCAAAAGACGTCACTCTTTCTGGCAGCCCATTTCCAGGTTCGGAGCAGTGGTAATTTGGTTTTTCACTCTCTCCTGCAGGCTCACTAGGTCCAAAATTTCCCCCCTCTTCTCCTGCTTCCAAGGGGGGGGTTAATAGTTTTAACCGATGGAGATTGAATCCTTTACAAAAATAAACTTTCCAAGGCTTTAACTTGCAACTTCTTTGCTTCAATCTGTTTACAAAAAAGGAAGATGGACTTCCTGTTTAGAACCTTCCCGTTTCGATGCCAAATTAATGAATTTAAGGATCTAATTTTCCGTTCTACTCACGGGTAGTTGTTTAAAATCCAATTGTCCACAGGAAAAAGTCAGCGCTGTCCGGCAACAGCGATGCGGCTTCACTCCGTGAAAGAAGCAGTCAATTCAAAGCACCGCGCCACTCACCCCACTTCGCTCCGGATCCCCAAATCAGGGTTTCCCCGCGAGTAGGGGAGGCGCAAAGGGTGCCAGCCGAATCCCAAGTTCACAGGCTTCTCCCGCCTGTGATTTCAGTGGGTCTCCGCCTTCGCCGTGGCGGTCAGACCCTAATTTCCACGGAGCAAATTCCTCCTGATCGGAGGAACTCCGCCATTGCCTGGAGGCGCCAACCCGGAAGTCTGAACTGAACAGATCAACAACTGTATACTCTTTCACACAAACGTGTAGCTTGTACAGTCATATCTCGGGTTAAAGTCACTTCAGGTTGAACGTTTTCAGGTTGCGTCCCACAGTGACCCGGAAGTAACGGAATGGGTTTCACCGCTCGCGCATGCGCAGACGCTCAGAATGACGTCGTGCACATGCGCAGACGTGGCGAATCAGGACCCGCACACACAGAGACGCAAAGACATGGGTTGAGTTCTGCTCATGATGCGAACGGGGCTCCAGAACGGATCCCGTTCACATCCAGAGGTACCACTGTACCTGTGTTCAGTGCTATGTGTGGACAAGCCTAAAGACTGCCGTGCTCAGAAAAACCTAGAAACAAAGAATCGAGAATGGACACATAGGGGCAAGCTCTATTTATATCAAATTGGCCACCACGTTGCGTATGGCTACTTCAGACACATGCCCAACATGTGATGGTCAGTTTGCTAAAAATACTGTTTTGTTACAATGATTCCCCAATGGTACATCCATCCATGATGGAAGACCACAAGTTCCCCATCCTGCATTAAGAGAAACCTCCTAATGAAAAGAGCTGTGGAACAGACTCACTTGGGAGGTGGTGGGTAGCCATCTCTCAGGGATGCCATAGTTGCAAGAATTTTGCATTGAGCAGGAGATTGGACTAGATGACTTCCAAGGTACCTTCCAACTCTACAATTTTGTCATTCGATGGTGGGCGTCAGATCTCCTGGATCTCTGGCAGGGGTTTTTTCCCATCGTGGCTACCTGGCCCTTTAAAAGAAAAACTAGAAATGCCAAGAATCAAACCTGGGACTTTGGGGGTGAGTTTGGTGTGTCAAGCTGTGTGCCAGACTCCTTCAATCCCCTCCCTCAACAAACAAAGCCAGAGTTCTGCAGTGATGTGACCTATAAGAAAAGCAGCAAGCTGACAAGAGAGTCAGAGCGAAGTTTTAGAGCAATGTTTTATTTCTATTTGAATCTGATGCTGCAGCTATGGGAAAAACAGGACCCTTTTGGGGTGTTAATATTGTGAACTCTTCCACTGTAGGCTCAGATTGCATACATGTGTAAATCAGGCATAGGCAAACTCGGCCCTCCAGATGTTTTGGGACTACAACTCCCATCATCCCTAGCTAACAGGACCAGTGGTCAGGGATGATGGGAGTTGTAGTCCCAAAACATCTGGAGGGCCGAGTTTGCCTATGT